GAGTGAATCCAATGTGCATTCTTAAGCTTATGCTGGGAAAGAATCACTGGCTTCTGTAGAGCTAGACCTACTGTTTCTATTTCTTAAAAGTCAGCAACTCATCACAGTAACGAACTGAAGAAAATGTCACAAGAAACAATTGCACATATGTCTAATTTAGAGCCACTTATTGACTGAACTAGTACGATTTTTTTCACTGCAGTTGGAAAAATGAGTGGAGTAATCCAATGTTCAGAGGTAGTAGTCTGCATACCATTAACATTGCAAATGTTTATTAACTATTGTTGTCATTCTGTTATTTTGATCCTGTCTGTTTGCATTGCCATCAATGCAAATCTTCCTTAATCAAAACATTTTCCATTTTTCTTGACAAACTTCTCCAAACCCTAATCCCGGGCACCCAATGTAATGGCTATCAGGACCATATTTCCAGGATCAATCAAATGATCAAAATTAACATAAATAAAGGCCTGCACTTTTTAGTCTGTAATCAATCTATTTAACGAGTTTGCCTTGGTTAACTGATTCATTGAAAGTAATTAACTGCAAGAGTAATCTAGTTAATTGAATATAAATCAATTTAAATCTTTTGCCAGAACAGTCAAGAGAAAGTAAGAAAGATAAAAAACAGATTGGTGAATTGCTTGTGGGTTCTCCTGGGGTAAAACCTTTATAGTGCACCTTTTCAGCATGATGTTCACCACTAACCACACAACAACAGAGAGTGAGATAAAAATGTTATACTGCAATAAAATTAGGGTTTAGATATCTAGCACTCTCCTGTAGCTGGGAACATGTTCTCATAATTTTCAGCTGGGAAACCACTAAATACTTACACTGTAGTTTACATTTTTTCATTGCCTTCCTATGAAAACCAGTGATAATTACAGCTTCGGGACTCCAGATATGTGGGGTGTTTGCTGACTCAGAGAGTCGTTAAGATATTGAATCCTTCTCTTTTCCTGGGGTGACAGTAAAACATAGCTGTGAGGTCTTTGCTAAGTTCAGCCAAAAGACTGGGGAAATAAACTGCCTCTGAGGCATTTCATGTTTACAATTATCACTATTTAACAATTTCCTTATTAATGCACTTCACCTGCTTAACTCTTTGCAGCTCCTAATCATCATTCATCTCCTCCACCTGCCAGTTTCCCTTATACTGGGCTCAGTTCCAGCTATCATGGCCAGATCATTAGATGTTCTATTCTGTTGAGTTCTGTTTATTCCAAGGTTCATGTCCAGGATCCTGGTGGCCAGTGGAAAGAGGGTTTTGTGTCTGTCTCGTCTCCTTCTCATCCACTGTTCCTCCCCTGCTGAGTCCTCTGGGTTTTTGGCTCTATACGCAGGGAGGTTCAGTTTTTATCCAAGGAGGAGACCAGTTTAAAGGTCCTGCTCAAGTTCTGGTTCCACGTCCTGTGCTACCCTCTGCCACTGAGCCTTCCCGTCTGCACCTGATCCTGTCTGCTCCTGTGCGTGTCCTCCTGGTTACGCTTTGTAACTGTTGCTGAGGGTTAGAGTTTTTCTAGCCTCCGACCAGGATGTACAGCATTGGCAAACATGTTATTAGGCCCTAGATTTGTACAGGTTGTGGAGGAATGTGCTGTGATTTTATAGGGCCCAGCAACCAGGGATGCCAATTAAATGTTTTGATTTTATGTTCTTTTGAATTCCCAGCCAGCTGGGAATTTATATTTCTGATACTTTAAGATGTTTATTGCTGTAGGGGTGGTAAAATATCTTATTTAATCAGATAATATTTCGGCTGTTATATACCGTTTATGAATACAAGCCCTAATCGCTGTGTATTAGAACAATAAATGAAAGAGTGATTCGAGCACTAATCATGGTCAAACAGTTATTTCTGCACATACATGGAATAAATTCACCACAACTTCTGTTCATAATATACGATTTTATTAACAAAAATCATTCAGCTCCAAGTCAAATATATTTCAGTTTAACACTCTCAACTAAGACTAGTAAAACTAGACTAAACTAAACTACTATGTACAAAGAGCAAGGGAAGCATGGTTGAAAACCATATTACAGTTTAAGATGGATTTTGTGTTTTAAACCCAAGCTTATCTGGAAGAATTTCGGATATGATCAAATTAGCTTTTCACTAATTTAGTGAAATTGGAATGCTTTCAGACGAATTCACAATGCAAATCCATGAGGTGAATAAAACATTATTTGGCCAAATAATGTTTTGTTAAATGATTTTCTTAATCAGGAACCAATAACCTTTAGTTAATCATTCTTTACCCTCTTTGAAACAGCTAGCAGTGAATAGACATCAGGATTCCTCTAAATGACTCTTTTTCATACTTGGTAATTGTAATGTAATGAGCATTTGAGGAACACATGAACACTAATGTTATATCAGTGTTAAAACCCTTATTGAATAAAGCTTGTCCAAACTTAAGCAACAGTTTAAGACATATTCCTGTATAGTATAGCATGCAGTCAATTCTGTTTTTACTCAGCAGTAAACACGTGATATGATTAACATCATCATAAGACATATTGTTTGTTCTGTCCCTAATTATGCCAGACCTGCAAACCTTTTTGTCCACTTTTGTCATGTCCAACAAAAAAGTCTATAAAAGTAGTAAAACTGCTGCTTTTCAAGCTAAAGTAAGCCACAGTGCCTTTTATGAGCTGTATTTTATTTTGTGTTTTTTTCTGCCTTGTAATAAAACAAAATCAGCATCCAAACTTCAAAAATATCAAATATTCAGCTTCGAACTGTGTGCACTGATCCAGTCTCAGCAGTGTATTTCACTCTTACGGAAGCCGGTAACATGGCTCTGCTTTATGCAACGCAGCCATGTCTACCCTTGTTTGAAACCTTATTTGATTGGCTAAATAGCCAAACAGCCCATGTGGTCTTAACCAATAACAGCAGGACTCTATGAGGCGTAATAATCAGTGCGTCATTGGCTGACAGGAAAGGAGCGCTTGTGACACCTCAGCGACTGTCCAAGACTCAAACAAAAAGTCATACAAAGATGCGGACACTTTTGTCTTGTAGGTAAGACGACGATGTAAAGAAACATACCAAACATTGCATGCAAGTTTTTGAGGAAGTAAGTCTTATTACCAAGATGCTAAGCATTAGCTATGACCAGATGTTATGTGGCGATTTTCTCATCGGGGAATATTTTTTATCATGAATACTCTTCATTACTTTTAAGCTGTGGACCGTTATGGACAAATGGAGTATAAACAATAGAATATTGGTTTTATAAAGGTGCTCCTGGATGCCTTCAAAGCAGAGTGCGAAATATGGGGGGCTCAACCCCCGCGATTAACCCATGAGACCCCCTAAAAGCCTCAAAAGCAACATTTAAAGGGGGTCTTACATTGTGTCAAAAAATTTAAAATAAAATGTTTTGTCACAATGGTCACTAAAATATTTTTAAGCTCAACATGTCCAATATCCAAAATTCAAAACATTTATTCACAAATATGTTCAATATTTTGCAAAGTGGAGCCAGCCAATTCTGTTCGCGTATGCAAATTAGCCATGTGCTTTTCTGCACTTAATAACACGGGCAACGTGGAACAGATTGCGTGAAGACAGCATGTCTTCACTCCTGTTTGTGGACCTCAATGGACCTCCTCTGGACAAATTTGACCCAGTTCTATTTGTCAGAATCCGGATTAAAGCAGGACATGGCCTCTCTTCTTCCTGGAAACCAGGACAGCAACCACAAGAAGTTGAGCCGAGGCATCTTTGGTCGGTTCTAACTTAAGGTAAGATGCTATTTTATAAATTGTCCTGTATGTAGGCTTTGTGTTTGGTTGTGGTCTTAGTGAAGCAGCCTAGCCCTGGAGTTGGAGAGTGATTGTATATGTGCTGCATGCGTGTGTGTGTGAAAGAGAGAGAGAGACAGACAGAGAGACAGACAGAGAGAGAGACAGTCTTTGTGCGTGAATGTGTTGTCATTGACTGAGTGTCTGTTCAGGCTCTTGCCCGCCCCACCAGATTCACAAAAAGCTTCATTCTCCAGGCTGTCAGGAAGGTGACCCCCCTGCCTCAAAAAAAAAAAAAAAAAACGCACACTGCTTCAAAGGTATGCTGCTTTGAAATCTATAGATTTTGACATGCTGCTATATCTGTGTAAACTGTCCTTTGGGGCTTGGTGTATCCATAACATGAACTTCGAGGTTGAATTGTGGAGAATCTAAGGTTTCCAACGATGTCTAACATGTCTATATTGGTAAAAATTTTACCAGTTTAATTTTCATGCATTCTGAGTTATTAGTTGTAAATGCTATAAAATGGTTGCCGGCAATCAGGTGGGTTTTGAGTATCTTCCTTTTTTTTTTTTTTTTTTGGCCCATTCTCTATAAACCTGAGTCTCCACTGTTCATGTAAATCTTAGCAGGTCCATGGTTTTTGAAATGCTCTGAAATAAACTCCTACACCACATCCAAAGTGTCTTTGCTCTCCTTTTTCAGACATGCAGTGTATGCAGATGGTTAATCTAAAAATGTATTGCATAGAAAAAACAGTTTTGTTCCTTTCTTTGAATAATTTTTAATGACTTAATAATGTCTTAACTTCATGATCATGTGATGAAGACGACGTGAAATTATTTTATTTTCATCTTACAAATCAAATTAATTCTCAATACAAGAAAGTCAGTCATAGCATTAGGGGGTTTGCAGCTAAACCACTGTGCAGGATTACCAATCTGATTTTAGGAATAATTTGTGAGATACAGCAACATTTAACAAACAATAGGTACATGGTTATGCATGATTTGATACAGCTTTTGATTAGTTAATATCTGCATTAGGTAATGAAATGAGACCTAAAGAAAATTTTGAAAATTATTTTCTTTCTGTGAAAATATGGGGTTAATGGAGATAATGCAAGGAGCTAAAAGTGGTGGAATACAGTATCAATCATACCTTGAAAAGGTTAGTTAAACAATACAGTGTACACCGATCTCAGATAATCTAGTCCCAGGACCTGTTTATTGAGCGGATAGAGCGCTCTGCACTCAGTCACCTAAGCTTGACTGGGCACGGAGCTTTGAGTCTCAATTGGCAGTGGGATCCTGTCCAAGGAGAAGAAGAAGGGATGAAAAGAGAAAAAAAAGTAGAGCACTTGAACAAATAAATGATTTTTACATTTAAGCCATATGAAGTATTGTCTGCATTTTTTGATGCCATTATATAGACCATACTTGTGGTGTTATACTAGTGTTTCTTTTGCCTTTTTCAACCATTTTTAACCTTTTTCAAAAGAGTTACTTACCGATGTGAGCCAAGCTTGTGGTTCTGACTTTTCTGGAAGAGACTGTGGTGATTGGGTTGTGCTGCTCTTAACAAGCCTGGCAGAAAAAAATGTGAACCAACTTTTTAAATCTGTCAACATTTATTAAGTGAACCCCAATTTAAAATAAAACCATAAACTTAAAGCAACACTGTGTAACTTTTAGCAACTAGACTTCCAGGTTTGATGAGTAGCTTTTAGTCAAACGTAAATGAAGACTTGTTGTGCAAACATTCAGTGCATTCATGCAGTGTACGGAGTTGATATTTAGTTCCTAAATTGTGGTATTATTTAAATTTGCTCTTTAACAGTTTGCCACATCTTGGAACCTACAGTAAATGTGTGAGTGAATTTGTCTGTGATGGTCTCACAAAAACAGTGGAAAATTGTAAAGTAGAGGGAAACTAGTATTTGCCATTAAGACGCTGAAAACCGTGAGAATGACACACACACACACAACATTCAATTTTTTTAAGAACTCTAATAGACTACTGCCTCCTACTGATAGTAGAAATACAATAAAACTTTATCACTTTAGATGTGATGATATGATCCCTGCTGGCTGTTCAATGCATGGCAGCTACTGCAGCTGCACATGATTGCATGTTTAATCCTTTATGTGAAACTTAATTGACAAGTATTCTTAGAAAAGGACTTCTTGCCTTACCGTTTTTTTGCTTGCAGGAGAGCTTTGGTAAACTTTGAGTTTGGATCAAGACAAAGCTTATCTCCATCTTTCAGGATGACTCTGTAATTAAAGAATGATAATTACATCCTTAGTGTTTATTCTGATCCTATTGGATATTTCTTTTTGCAGGTACTTACATCACTTCATGGTTGCTGCAGTATTCATGAGGTTTATAATCTATGACATCCATGATGAGAGAGGGCCTTATGCGTTTGAGTCTATTTAAACACATGCAGCGATTGGTAATGACTGTAAATGAAGAAGGCAATTTAAACCCAACCAATATAGTTTTCATAAATTTAAGTAATGAGTAGAGAGCATCTTTTGCACAGAATACAGTTTATTCCCAATAAAGCAAACATTTTCTGCATTATATATACATATTTTTAATTACAGGGTTTAACAGAAAAAACATCTTTGCACAGCATACTTACATGCTGAGTTGCAGATGGTGATGCAGGTCAGAAGAACGATGCATTGGATTGTAGGATTCATGTTTGCCTCTAATTGTAAAAATTAGACAAATTTACTTTTTTGCAGGGATTCTCTCCACCTCAATGTGAATCTGTGAGTGTTCCTGTTTGTCTTGAACACCACCCCCTTTACGTCTTATACACTCAGTCATCAAACATGCCTCAAGAACTGATATAAGAAAAATCCTGTTCTTGCACTTTCACTACCCCTATTCTCTGAAATAGGGAATTACTCCATCACAGTGAAGCTCAAACAGATCTTACTACCGCTGCTGTTTGTGTAAACCTAAGTTGTACTCTTTATACATGCTGGAACAAAAACACTGGCCTCCGTAGAGCTAGACCTAATTTTTATATGATTCAGAGAAATCAGTAATTTGTCTCTGTGACGGACTGCTTTGCAGCATGTTACATACAAGGGAGATGAATGATGTGGACTGCCTTTATGGTCTTTTTTATTTTTATTTTTTTAATCTGATGTACAGGATAACTTTAGCAAAGAAAATCCCTTTATTATCCCAAAATGTGGGAAATTGTGGTGTTAAAGTGTCTAAAGATAACAGAATAAGTGACAGTGTGAAGAAAACAAGGTATTGTACTGTGCAGTGTTTTTTACAATACAAATGCTCTGTATCTGGAGAATAAATAATCAGTTAAAAGCTGTGGACATTTTTACAGTAATGGATATGTGAAAAATAGCAGCAATGCCAGATATGTGCAAAAAAATGACAGCAGCATGTTATTTATAGGTATAGATACGATCTTCTATTTCCAGGTGGATCACATAAATAAGTGGT